GGTCCGAAACGCCATCGCGCGCGGCATAAAGAGTTCAGTGCGCGATCCGAAACGCCATCGCGCGCCGTTTATTTGCTACACCCGCTACCGTGCGCCGCACACTTGAGCGCCCACTCGCGACTTTCACCTAACCCGACCCAGGCGCTGGCGCCGCCGCCCACACCACCCCATTTGTTCCGGCGATCATTCCGGCGCTTCCCCGACCTATTCCCGCGCCGCCGCGGCTTCCTCCTTCTCACTCCAGACGCCGCCGCCCCTCGCGCGCGCCATTCCTCCGATGAACAGCGCCCAGCCGCCCACTGCCGCTCGGCGCCCACAAGGTGTTCGACAAAACGTTTGCAAGGTATGTATTGCTTCAACTTCACATTTTTTACATGAATTGGATGCATGTTGTTTGTAGTTTTTATAGCCTAGTTTAATTTGAACATTGTAATGAGTTCGTCGTATGATTTTTATAGCCAAGATTTAGACTACTCTCAGTATGAGGTCTTGGGACATCTCGTGCGAGTGCGGCGGAGGGCTGTCAGGGTGGCCCGTTTTGTTGCCCCCTATCATGCCATTCGACATGCCGAAATGCATGATGATCTTCAGAAGGATCTCATTGAGAAGTGGTGGGCATGGAATGACCGACAAAGAGCATCATGATTTGTGTGTTTGATGTTGTATTGTTGAACTATTTGGTCTATTGCAAGATAAACTATTGGTTTGAGTTGTAATAATGAAATTGAACTATTTATTGTTGATTTATTTTGTTTGTGTTTGATCTTCTTGGTTGTGTTTGGAGTGCATATATTGTATGTACGAGGGCGCGCGCATATTTTTTTTTGTAGCGGCTGCTGAAGCGGCTCGCGTGTGCTAAACTTTATAGCGGCCACTGAAGCAAATGCTCAACACCATGCAAAAACTCGTTAACCACACGCTGCAAACGCTTTTTTAATGCGCAGTGCGGCTGTTGGAGATGCTCTTATGATAATAGGGAGGAAATGGCTCTTGCTCAAGAATCTAACTCTAGGACTAGCGTAATTTGTAGAATCAACATCATTTTCTCTATACATTTTTACAAATTAATGTTATATCTTCATATAAAATCAGTTTATGAGACTCATAATCGTCTGTGTTACTTAATTGTTAGCCATAAACAAGAATGATCATAACTACTTTTATATTTTTGGATGCCATGTTTCTCTTTCGACAATCTATTGACCATTTTTGAGGAGCAGTGAAATTGTAACATGGTTCTTATCATGGTCCAGCTTGACACATGAGAAGTTTGCCATGTTCCCAGGGCTATTATCATGGTCAACGCTCATCGGAAAATAAAAGCAACGACAACTCATCATGAAGTGTTGTGACTTGTGAGCAAGTTTTTCGGCAGCATATCTCTACTCCTAATGAAGCAGTTGATGAATAGTCCGTCGGTTATTTTTCGCTAGTTTTTTTTTTCATCTCACCACTTTCTTTGATTTTATTTCGCTAGTTTTATTTCGTCTCCCTCCCACCTGCCTTTTCGTTTCACCACCCACATAAAACCATCAGATTAGTTACCATATATTCGTGCTTGATCTGGCAGGTGTCGATTCAATTTAATCATGTAAATATTTGATAATTAAGAATTCAAAATTAATACTATATACAGAAGATCACCTTCCAAACAAATCACCTCCCTCTCTGATTTATTTCTCCCACCGATCTCTTTCCATACTAATAAAGTACGCATTACATTCCTAACGAAGAGAGAAAATAAAAAAAGAACCCCCCACCGGCACGACCCCTCCCACGCCTCCAGTGCGCCGCCACCCGCCACCACATTGCTGCGCGCCACCCCCCACCTCCAGTGCCCCGCCACGCTGTTACACGCCGCCGGGCGCGGCGACGGCGATCTCCGGCCAGATCCGGCTGAGGAGGCGAGTAGGAGTCGGATGCTGTTCCGGGGACGGTGTGGAGATGATCTAGGAGGCGTGGGAGGAGGTCCAGCGGCGGGGCTTGAACTCCAAGTTCTTGGCGGCGGCGTTCCTCGCCGGTTCCGAGCGAGCCACCTCCAACAGATTCTGCGTCTTGCGGCGATGGTTCGTAGCCACAATCTTCCCTCGCGTCCGGGCTCCTCCTCCTCCTCCTCCGCCCGAACAATCGATTCCCACCTAGCCGGGGATGGCGGCGCGCGAGGACGCCAGCAGCAGGAACGGCGGCGTGGAGGCCTTCCTGGCGTCGTACGCGGTGTCTGGCGACGACGCTTACGGCGCAGCCAGGGCCGTGCTTGAGCGCCTCCAGGCCCCCGCCACGTGCGCCAAGGCAAGGCGCCGTCCGTCGCCGCCTCGCTGACGACCCCGCCGCCGGGCAGGAGGAACGCTTCCGCGCCTTCAACCTCCGCATCCACGACGTCGTCCTGCAAGGTCGGCCCCCCATCCTCCCCACTGCCCGACGATGCCTCCCCTTCCTCCTGTGTCGCCTCCCTCGACCGTGTAGGCACGTCGACATAACCTGGACGTCGTCACTGCATTGATCGTGTAGATCAGGGCGCCTGCGACGTGACACAGTCGTTTTCTTCGGCCGAGCGCTGAAAAGGGGACGACGGCTGCATCGCCATGCCATTTGTAGCTCAAGATTTGTAAGCCGCACAAGGTCATCTCTACCGCTTCACTTCTGGTTCGCCTCTCTGCTCCTTCCAACGCATCTATCTCTCGATTTCAATAACTGAAGGTGCTGGTGGCCATCCTTGCCCTATTCTCCTTCCCGTCCCTGACCTGCCATCCTCGTCCTCACTGACCCTGATTGGTGTTCTTGTCTTGCAGGGTTGAAGGTCAAAGTCGGCGACCTGTATACAAGCTGTCCCATGGCTGTTCGCTGTGGGATGTGATCGAGAGGTGAGGCCTCTTTGCCTGTTGAACAGGTGTAGGGCCTCCCGCTTATTCCTACTTTCTTGCAGTCAAAGGACGGGGTTCAGTGAAACCAGAGCAAACTAAGGTCTATGGTTATCTCCCGAAAAAAAGGGTGTATGGTTATTTTAATTCACCGTTCTTTCTTTTAGAAAAGTCACTGTTATTCGTAGCCATATGATACATGCATGTGTGTCAAGTTTCATTTGTAATAAATTACATTAGCTGAATTTAAACAGATTAAGTTTCCTAATGCAGGGCGAAAGCATAGTGTATTCAGTTTGATCTTGTTCCCATATTTATTTGTTCTCGGCATAGCTAAACTCTCAAATTGTAAAATCATTTGTCCAGTTTACATATTTTCAATCAGAAGTCATCTTGTTTTGTTCATAAATTGTGTCATTTATAGTTTAACTTTCCTCGTCATGTAATTATCTGTTTCTAGGTATTGGAGGGCATAGCACATAACCTGTGGGCCAATAGGCTAAGGTTTTCAAATGTTATTTACCCCTCGTGTCTATTATAGGCTAGGTACATTTCTGCCATCTTATTAAGTACTCATATTTCTATATAATGAACTCAGATTTTAAGACAATAGTCCTTTCCCGATAATAAAAGATGTATTTTATGAGGTAGTACAGTCGTAGACTTTTCTTATGTTCTGATTTGTCATTCCACCTCGCTGAAAGAGCTTGTAAATTTGTAATTGGTTCAACAAATAGCATACACTTTCTTTCTGTTTGAAAAGTCTGAACTTTGTAGCTCAGCGGCTACTTTGCGGGTGTATTTAAATCTTTTGGCCACACTAGGAAAGGGTAGACTATTTTAGGTGATAAGTGGGTTGGTTAATGTTGTAGTCCCTTTTTTATTGGAATGTTTTATGTTTCTCTACATTAGTTTTGGTAGAAAATCCACATCTACAATGGCATCTCTTCCGTTTTTGGTGTTCTCCTGAAAGAGCGAAGGGGCAAAGGGTTTCTTCAGTATTGCACAAGACTTTGATCTATCTGGCTGGTTCTGCTTCAGCTGGGGTTATTGGCTTATTGCTGATGTTTCCCTCTGCTCTATGGAGGCAGCGGCATATGTAGGATTCTTACATACATATGCTTGAGGGGTACATTTTTCTTTTGTTTCTTCAGTTGGGGTGTAAAGAGTAAAAGAAAAAAAAACTCCACTAGACACGTACATTTTTCTTTTGAGGGGTACCCAGCCATGTGCGTATGCTCGAGCTATAGAGAAAAAAAAATTGTCGCTCACTCTGGAACCCATCGATCAATTGGGGGAATTGCAGTTCTGTGGTCTGATGGCCTTTTAAGTGCTAGGCCAGCTGCTTAGTTAATGGCTTGAGGGGGAAATATAAAGGGTGTTAGATGATAGGAGGTGCGCAGGGCTGCTTTGCTACAAGGCACTAAATTTTCAGATTATTATAGCTAGCAAACTGCACATATATGTATAAACCTTGGTAAACGTCGAAGTTGATTCGGTCGTCGGTGATTCAGCGATGAATGAACTAAACCTCATGGTCTGCAATTGGTAGTAGTAGTTGTTTGTTACTGAACTTTGAAATTGATTCAGCGATGAATGAATTAAACCTCATGGTCTGTAATTGGTAGTAGTACTTGTTTGTTACTGAACTTTGAAATTAGTTTGCGTAAATTTGGAATATGCCTGACATATTTTACTCGGCCGCGGTTCAGCTATTAGGTTTGCTTCAAAATTTTACTTTCTGTGAGCATCACTTTCTTAGGGCATCTGATTCCTAACAGCCCTCTAATGGATTCATTATGCATATGCATTTCTCAATAGGGAAAAAGGAAAAACATCTATTATTACTAGGTAAAAAACCGCGGATGACAAAGTGAACCAAAAGCAGGCTCGAGGTTTCTTATCCTAAGCACCTGACCTGAGATAGCTTCTAAAAAATCCATAATCAGAAAGGGTCAAGGAAAATTCATATGAGATCAGAATACATTGATCAAGCGATTTATTTAGAGGAGTATTTTATTACATGCGTGTGTAGTACGGGTTGTTGTTTCACAATAGTTTTCATGGCCTCTAAGCATCATTATTCATGTGTGAACTTTCAATATTTGTGATTTTGGTTCTGGTTGCATAAGAATTTATCGAATGCTTTTAGGATCCCAGCAAATAAGGAAGCTAACAATGATGGACATACCTAGCATTTTTGGCCCCGGAGATAGGTTCATCACTCTCTACGAGGGCATTAATCATCATCCAGATCCAGATTCCATTTTCAGGAATAAGACCGTCGCACAGCTAGGATGTGGCAATGGTTGGATATCCATTGCGCTTGCAGAAAAATGGTGCCCTTCCAAGGTTGGTGCCTCTTGTCCCGTCCCCTGTGGACATTTATCTTATGATCCTTGTTACGTAAGTGGGAACTGCAGCAGTTTCACATTTGTTTATAGAAGTGGGAGCTCCATAGTTAGATATTTACCCAGGTTTGACGATATGATACTTCTCAGACTTCTGATAATCTGCCGACAGTCTAAGTTAGTCGGAGCATCTGAGAAAACAATATATGTCCCCTTCCCCTGGTTTTTTTTCGTCCTCCCTCCCACCTCCCAATTTCCCCGCAGTAACGATCCCACCTCCCAGTTTCGTCGGTTTTTTATTCGTCCCCCTCCCACTGGTATTCGGTTTTCATGCTTGATGTAAAGTTTAGTGTTTCTTTCCTTCTGTTTCATGGTAATGATGCGTTGGATATGCTTTAGTGAATGGAGGAATCTGAGAACACATAGTGATTTAACCTTACCCTGTTAAATGCTTACATGCATGTTCATTCTGTTCAACTAAAGATAACCACGATTATAGGGATATTATCTTTCTACAAGCATGTTTGCGCGTAAATATAAACATGATTCTCACCACCCTTCCTAATTCGTAATGCAAATACTTGACTAATGTTGGAGCTTACATATGCAATGAATACTAATGAAGGCCATGTGCCTTTCTTATTTCATGCACTCTTTGCCCAGTTACCTACTTAGAGTTTCAGTTCGCTGCACAATTATCGTGCCACTGAAATATGTAATGTGAAACCCGTTCCCATCTGTTCTCATTTTATAAGAGTTTAACTTTTTATATAACAGGACCCTTCCAGGTGTTAGATTTATAGTTAATTACTACTTAGTTTACTATTCAGGAGATTCCCACATTTTTCTTGGGTTCAATTAATAATTTTCATTCTTTATGCAGGTTTGGAGATGACACGTACTAAAAATCTAATTATTTTCTCTTGTCGTTTTTTGTAGTTAATTCAAGGAGGACCCTACATCTAAACGTAACAGATCAGCTTATATCATAATTCCATTGCTGGATTTCTAGAAGAATGAAAAAGGGAGAAATGGTTGTTTCATTTGGTGTGCGAATCTGGTTTAAAGTGTGCCTGCTTATATCTGGTAGATCTTGGTTGCAAAAGTGATCAGATATACTCCTCTGTACCAAAATATAAGACGTTTTTTTCAGTTCAATTGAACTGCAAAAATATCTTATACTTTCGTACGGAGGGAGTAATAGTCAACACAACCAGGTTGGTTCTGTAATTAAATGCCTAGCTAAGATCTTGTAGTTTTGAATCAAATAGTTTGACTACACAAAGAATTATATTTACTTTGTGTAAGATCTTGTAATTCTGAACCAAGTTAATCCTAAATCAAATATTTTGTCTACTATTCTATATAGGTCTTAAGTAGCAAAGCTGGGCATTGTACATAATTTTGTTTTGCTTTGGATTTCAATTAACTTGGAATTGGGGGAGAAGTTAACAATGAGGTTCATGTCTACAAGGTTGGACCGTTGAGATATTAGGAGCTGTGCATTAGTACTCCCCGTGAAAAAACGACCGGCAGGGAATGAGATTAGTCCACGAACTCCAGATTTTTTGATGGGTTTGTATTTGAATTTCTGTGTGTGGATAGAAGTTTACAGAAATATGGATAACAGTATGCACATCATCCATACACACATGCACTCACACATGGTCGGTACCACCACTATCCTAACCATTTAACTACTGGTTGGTTTTAATAACATTTTTCCCAGGCGGGGGCACATGCCATTTTTTCTCCTTCACCATGGACCCTGAATTTGCTGAACTCTAGGCGTGTCGATGGGCTGCTCAGCTTACATGTGAACTAGACGTGGCAAAGCTTATCCTGGAGACGAACTCAAAGCTATGAAAATTCATGTATACTGATTATCGAGCAATATGGTATGTTTTCCACGACACTCAATTTTTTATGTCCAGATGCATGGCTTTCAGAATAAATGCAGACTGTATGTTTACTCATTATCGTGATCTTTGTATATCTGTAACCACACCCTACAGCTTCAGCCACTTGACGACCAACCTGCAATTAGATGTTACAAATATAGATGCAATATGTTAATTCTAAGGTGGCATCCAATTCCTAATAATTCATACCTGAAATAAAATTGTGATTTATTCATTGTCTTACTATCATATCCGCGTCGAGCACAACCGAACGCCTCTATGTCCAGTGAGGCCAACTATCCAGAATCCTCTCACCATCTTAAATCCATTGATGTTTTTCTGTTAAAGGCTTACATACTGAAGTTAGCAAAGCCAATCTTTTAATTTGGAAATATCACTTTATAGTACTTTGGTCTGTAAATGTATTGCGTTGCTGTATTTTAAAGACGCGGTTTGTGTTGGAATATATTAAAGATGGTGTCGATCCTGATGACGGGCTGCCTTGCAGGGCAAGGGACGGGGGTACAAGGCATGGGTCTGTGGTGCCGCACCTTGCTGTTCCCTGCCGGTGGCGGGCGAGCTGCAGTGGCGCTTCTCTGTTGCGTGGCGAGGAACGGGGGCGGAAGGTGTGCATCTGCAGTGCCACTCCTGGGGCATGCCTCTCCGGCGACATTGCCGGCGTACACAACATACCTTACTACACGGGGATTTCAACTCTGAACTAAATATTGAGACTATTCATTGATGGTCTTTCTCTACTACACGAGGAAGGTAATTTATGTGCTTCTTTTTCCATTTCAATGTACCGTTGGGTTATTTCGGTTGAAAAATTAAAGTTTCTACATATTTTCATGGTTTATGAAAAGTAGCTGTGATCCGTGGTTTTATTCCTACTTGAGGAAATTTCTGTGAAGCTAAAGTTGGTGTTGTTCATCTTTTCTTCTACAATTTAGTACTCTTGACATAGTTCTAAAATTTATCATTTCAAAAGATCAGTGTAGTAGTGCAGTCTAACAAAACCTTATTTTCTACAGGCCCGAGGTAGACAAACATAACAACTCATGAAAGAAGAACATATTTGTACCTTGTTGCCCGCTGACTATATGCATGGTTGAATTGTAGTATGTGTGATACGTGAGGATAATGTAATATGAAGTGAAACATGGTGGATAGGGCTTCGTGAATGAGCTGGCGGAGAAGATGTCAGTGGTGGAAGCGGACATGTTATAGAAGATGTTGCGGGCGGTACAGGAGGAAATGGCCAAATGGGGTTCCTCGGAGCCGACAAGAAGGATGCTGCAGCGGCACATATTGGGTTCCATTTCCATCCAGAGAAGAACTTATGAATGCTATGTGCGCGATCCATTCATTCTTTCGTTTGATCCTTCCATATTCCCCTCAACTCAGATTCTTTTTCTTTTGCACTTACATGGTTTTTATGGATCAATAAATTTAGTGACATTAATGGCAATGAGAATATCATATATCCATAAACTTCACATTGTTGTTTTTCAGCAGAATATGATGTTTGTCTCTTTTTCATATGGATTGCAATATGGTCGATGGTAGCTTGCTGAATAGGTTAAGCGAGACGCAAGACATAATTTCATTCCCAGAGTTTGACTTGTTGAATAGGTTAAAAGCCTACTGCAAAATAAATTAGACGCGGAGTTTGTAAGGGTTACATGTATGCAATTTACATGGGTCTATCTAATGTTAGAGTTTCATGCCTCTAATTATTTGTATTTATGTATTCTAGCTATGGATACCAGTAGCATTAGTTCTTTTAAAGTACTGCATTTATAAACTTTACTATTTAGATAATGTATATGAAAATATCAAGTAATTTTAAATGCCATTTATGATCATAAACGATCTTACCGGATGATTGTTTTCATGGCCTTCAAAGAAGAGATATCCTAGAAGTTGAGTGCAGTTGGAGGGGCCTCAGTCCTTTTGAGCCAAGAAAAGTAGATGGGGCCTGTCCAAAGCTATGAATAGTAGATGGTAAAGTGTTGAAATATTTTGTATTTCCGTGGTTTCTAAATGGTAGGAGGTATATGTAGTAACCTGTACGGTTTCAAGTCCCAAATTTCATGTGTAAAAGTTTGCTAGGGAATCCCGATTGTAGAATCTTGGAATAAGGGAACAAAATCCTACATGTGTTGTATATTTAATTAATGGATAATAACAACAGACATGCTTTCATGAGATGATTAATCTTAAGCATAGAAGGGCATCCATGTGCCACCTATCATTTGTAATGCATAATAAAGAGTTTTATGTTTTTGTGTTTTGTGCATTAGATCTGATCCTATATGTTACCGAATTACATTGTAAGTGAAGTGGATCTCAATATTTTTGTATGTTATCAGCTATCTTTTCTATACATGTGAAATTCGATATGCAATTAGTAACAACTAACCTGTAATAAGTAGGAAGGCATAGTAATGTAATAAATAACCCAATATCAAATACTGATAATAATATCGACAAAACGTTCTCGATTTTTAAGGCCCGTGGCAACGCACGGGCACTCTACTAGTAGGTCTAGGAAGTCACAAGTCACAAGTCAGCAACAGTATAATCCAGTCACTATTCTTTCGTATGACCATTTCTCGAAGTGCCTAGAACATAAAACAGCAAACAATATGATAAGAAGAGCAACGGAGAGGAGGAAGGTGCATGAGACGCCCATAATTGGATGGTAGTGATGCGCGGTCAACCCACCACGTAACCTGTTTTAACCCATGCGTACGATGCGTATCACCCAAACAGAAGTAGAGAAGAATCCAAAAGATATGATAAGCAAGGAGACTCGATGCTTAGCGGAGAACAAATCTCTTATGCGTCGGTGGAGTTATGCGTGCACACTTGTACTTTCAGAGAGTAATTGGCATGGTTAGGTTGACTGATTCAACTATTCCTCCCCTGTTCTTTGGTGGCTAGGATAAATTCTCCCTCCAGACTTCGCCGGCGAGCAAGTAGATTCGCCTTCCCTTCGGTTAGTAGTTTAGGTCAAGGTGTTTTAGTCCTCGTAGGTGTGGCGCTCGGACGGATGTCGGCGTTTTTTCTTTGAGTCTGTCTTCCCGTTTTCGATCCTCCTTAAATTTGTCTATCTAGACGTAGTCGATGGAGCTTCGGCGTAGATTCCTGCCGTCTCCTTGAAACGGTAAGGTTAGAGTTCACTACTAAGGAGAACCTTATACACAGAATCTTATCAGCAGCACAGTTTAAAATAAGGCGCTACTGCTACTTAGCAGTAGCGCTTGACAA